CTAGTCCCCTAGAACCGGCAACGGCTCTCGACGAGCTCACGCTGACGGATAGTTTCATTCTCAGCGTGCTTCGAGGCTGGAGATTGCTCCAGGCGGCTGGCCTGTCACCGGACGAGATGCGGGACATACTGTCCTCCACAAAGAACAGTATGGACTATGATTTGATATCAACTGCTCTCCAGAATCTGTGGGACGATCAGCTCGTGGGCAATCGGTCCCGGCCACGCCCTTCGTTCTCCTATCACGGGAACTATGTGTCCGAGATGAACGACAACGACCTCTACTACCAGGATGGAAGTGGCTATGAATGGTATGAAGAGGACGATTGGTGGGACGAGCAGCCGCAGGCCTACTTCACCGATGCGGAGTCCTACGAGGAGCAGTGGTGGCAGGATGAATGGCATGGTCAGGAAACGACTGGCCAGGCGAATGCAGTGACCCCCGACCCCGCTGACGAGGAGAAGCTACGTGATGCTATGCAAGCTGAACAGCTCGCGGAGACGCTGGCGCTAGAGGCCCAGCGGACATGGAGTGAAGCACAGAGAGCAACACAAGCCCTCAAGAGGGACCGCGGTTTTGGAGCACCACCGAGCACCGGCATGAAGTGTTTCTCGTGCGGTGGCCCTCATCTACTACGTGACTGTCCACGGCGAGCAGGAGGCTACAACAAGGGGAAGAGCAAGGGAAAGTCCAAGTACGGCTACATGACGGATATGGACGCGCACTACCTGAAAGGCAAGTCCAAGGGAAAAGGGAAGCCAAAAGGGAAACAGGGCATGTACTTCAATGCCGATGCTGCGTGGAAAGGCAAGGGCAAGGGCAAACATCATGACAGCAGCCAACGGACTGTCAATGCCTATGCCTCCGACTTCTTTGCAGGTGGTCTTGAACTTACATCGACCCTTGAGGCAACTGCCACAGTGACGACGGAACCGACCCCAGAACTGGGCATGGTAGATTGTGGCGCCACGGCATCGGCAGCTCCTGAAGCAGTCGTGAAGGGGCTGATAGCCTCGATTCTTGAGAAGGATCGTGGAGCCCGCGTGGACATCGATGCAAATGCCCGGCCCTACTTTCGTTTTGGTGATGGTCGTTGGGGTCGTGCTCTGTATCGGGTTCGCATTGCCAGTGCGCTGTCAGGAGTGATCAGGAGTTTCTCCCTCTATGCCCTACCGAACCCCAAGGAGTACTTTCAAGCCGGGTTTGACAAAGCTTCCTTAGTACCTATCCTGATCGGCATGGACTTTCTTGGGAAGGATGCAAACGGTCTTATCATTGACTTCACGACCGGATTAGCTACCAGTTCACTTGATGATAGGCCAGAAATCTTTCAACTTCAAAGGAATCGCAAGGGACACTTCATGTTGGACATCCGAGAGTATATCACCCGTGGACATGTAAACCTCGAAGGTCATGCGCATGTGGTTGTATCCTCCTCAAACTCCACCTTGTCACAGTCCGAGGCCCATGTGATTGAATTTCATGTTGTTCAGTTTGACCTGACAGTCAGTGACATGGAGCTTGAATCAACTGAGCTTCAGAGATCCCGTGAAAGAGTGATGATGCTTCACCGGTTGTCGCGTCAACTTCAAGGCCAGCATCCCTCAGCAGATTCTTGCTCAATGCTCGCGGCAACTCAGCCGCTTGAAGCCCCGACAACTTCCTCTACTCGCTCTTTGCCCCATGGCAACATCAAGCACGACGATCGACAAGGAAACGGCGGAGATCCTTGCAGCGGCCGCCAAGGCCAAGGCGGCACCGAAGAAGAGAGCCAAGTCGCTGGATATGGCCAGGACTATGAAGTCAGACCCAAGGGATCCCCGCGGCAACGCTCGATGTTGGCCGTGCTACGGACAACATCAACCGGGTCCTGCACAGGCCAACCAACACGGCCAGTGGGTGCACTGCAAGGTGTGCGACTTGAGACTACTGTACACACCAAGGAAGGGCGCTCCGTCGAATACCACCATGGTTCACAACCCGGCAATGGTGAAGAAGATGTTGACGCAGCTAAAGGCCCTCCTTGGAGACCACAAGCCGACCGCGAAGGTGTGTCTGCACATGTTCAACAAGATCACGGCCGAGGAGGTGCTGGAGACATCGATTCGGGAGATTGTGAACACATCCGCGACGACGGCAACC